CTCTACAATGAACTCATGAGCTCGATTTTAGGGTGGGATTTTAGGTCTTTCTGGGGCTCGATCAGCTTTTACCCAGAAGTCTCAAAATTCTTAAGGTTTTCTGAAAAAGAATCTATAGTTCCTATGCTTATTTATTAGTTGAAAAGTAATTGCATGCTCTGAGCACATATAAGCAAACTGAGGCTCAGGGCTAAAAAATGGACCCAGAAAGCCCAGGTGAACCAGTTCCCTCTCTTCCCTCCCACCCAGCATGGGGCCCTTGCAGTGACCTGACCTCAGCAACGATGCCTGCATCCCCACCCCAGTGACTGCTCCAGTCTGTTCTCACGGGTGGGCCACTTCCCATTTTCTCTGCTCTGTGGTGGTTTTGTTGCTGTGGCAATGCAGCAACCTGAAGGTTGTGTGTGTGTGTGTGCATGTGTGTGCGTGTGTGTGTTTATGTGTGTGTGCTGGCGTGTGTGTGTGTGTGCATGTGTGTGCGTGTGTGTGTTTATGTGTGTGTGTGTGCATGTGTGTGCGTGTGTGTTTATGTGTGTGTGTGTGTGCGTGTGTGTTTATGTGTGTGCTGGCGTGTGTGTGCATGTGTGCGCGTGTGTGTGTTTGTGTGTGTGTGCATGTGTGTGCGTGTGTGTGTTTATGTGTGTGTGCTGGCGTGTGTGTGTGTGCATGTGTGTGCGTGTGTGTGTGTGTTTATGTGTGTGTGTGTGTGTGCATGTGTGTGCGTGTGTGTGTTTATGTGTGTGTGTGTGTGTGTGTGTGGTGTTTGGGAGGCACTGCTGGATGCAGGGGTGGGGTTCTAATTGGTTTGATGGTTGCCAGGGTCAACAGGGCTGTGATTGGCTGACTCTGTTTCTGTGCCCTCTCTGTCCTAGAAGCCTCTGGGGATGCAGCTGTTGCCCCAACTGAAGTCTGGAGTGGTCGTGCATAGTGTGTATGTGTGTGTGCACGCATCTGCGTGCACACACACACGCACAAGTGCACGCACGCCTGTACAGTGAGCACAGTGAGGAGAGGATGCGATGCCTGGTGTAGTGATAAAGCGGAAACTCCTGTCTTTCTCCTGGAATCGCGCTGGAACCAGGTAAATGACATTTGTCTCACAATCATCCCCACTCTTCATGAATCACTGGGTGTATTCAGAGGAGGAGTAAGAACTGGCTGAGTCCAGCCAAGTCCTCGGTTCCCACTGACCAGTATACTTCCTCTTTTTTTTTTTTTTTTTTTTTTGAGGAAGATTAGCCCTGAGCTAACTACTGCCAGTCCTCCTCTTTTTTTGCTGAGGAAGCCTGGCTCTGAGCTAACATCCATGCCCATCTTCCTCCACTTTGTATGTGGGACGCCTACCACAGCATGGCGTGCCAAGCGGTACCATGTCCACACCCTGGATCCGAACTGGTGAACCCCAGGCCGCCGAGAAGTGGAACATGCGCACTTAACTGCTGCACCACCGGGCCGTCCCCAAGACTGGCACACTTCTAAGGAGCTAGGCCACAGGCGGTCAGTCCCTGGGCTCAGGTCTCTGCTGCCATTCTCCCTCTTCCCTGCCAAGGACACACAGGCTCTTGGGGAGAGCTCCTCTCTGTTCTTAGTTTCCCATTTCTCCTGTCTCCACTTGTCTCCCAGAACCCTAAGAAGGGCCCTCTGGCCCAACCCCAATGATCTCATGCACAAACAGGTCTCTGTGCAGTTCACCAAGCAATTTCACATCACACTCGTTGAATCCTCCTGGGAGGCAGGCATTCACATTATGCCCATTCTGCAGAGGAGGAAAATTGAGGCCTGGATGAACAAAATGCCTCCTGCACCTTGGGGGCAGAGTCAGGCCTCCGGGCCTCCCAGGTGTCCCCGCAGTGCTTTCGGAGACTGTGCCTGCGTGAGTGGCTGCATGAGGGCCAGAAGGGAGGAGAGCCTGTGGCAGTGTGCAGAAAGGAGATTCTCTGTTGGCTGAACTCTCCCTGTCTGGATGCTGCGCCTCCCAGGGGAAAGTGGGGCGGGCTTGAACTTTGGTTTTTCAGAAGCTATTTGAATGCACTGCCCACACAGTCTGTGAGGGAGAGCTGTTTCCAGCCTCCCCACTCAGCCCTCAGGCGCCCAGGGATGGCTGTCCTATCTGCAGAGCAGTGGCGTGTCCCCAGCAGCAGGGAGGAGAGACAGGATCAGAGTGGAGAGTGGGCTGGGTTGCTGCTGGGGACCACCATTGTCATGCTGCCCTGGCCTGCCCGCATGCAGTGCTAGGGCCACCAGGGCCTCCCAGGAATGCCACAGACCCTGTAGGCTACAGAGGGGAGGGGCCTGCAGGGCCTACAGAGGAGGGACCCAAGGAACGGGGTGCCAGGGGAAACCCCTCCGCCAAGAGCCTCTTGTCTGACCCCCTGCAAGGAGACAGTTACTGGCTGCAGAGAAGGAAACAAGCATTGACTGGGGGCCACGTGCACATCTCACTGAAAGCTCGCAACAGCCCCATGAGGGAGGGACCATTACTATCTCCACATTACAGACGGGAAAACCAGAGATGTGACAACTGCCCAAGGTCACACAGTCTAGGTGGCTTTAAAGCTCAAGGTCTTGCTTGGTGGGGCAGCAGGGCAGGAGCTCCTCCTTCGGGGAGGGCCCAGGTAGTGCTGCTTCTACTAAGCTGGGCTTGTCGAGAGATGTATGGAAAGCAAATTGGCCTGGGAGAAGGGCAGGCACAACAGAGAGTTTGGAGGGAATTTTCAGAAAGGGCAGACAGGGAGCAGAAAAATTAGGATGGTCGAAAAAGCGCACACACGCGGGCTCCCTATGCAGCTAGTAAGCTCTGCCCACGTGCCCAGGTCTCTTCCCTAGCTCCCCCTTCTACCTGGCCCTCTGCTCATGCCCTTCCCTGGAGCTGCCCAGGTGCCACCTGCCATTCTATGGGCGCCATACAGAAGCTCATCTGCGGCCCATTCCTTTCCCCCACCCCCGAGGAGGAAGGCATTGCCTTCAAAACTGAAGATTTCAAAGATTCTGAAATGTAGTCCCATGTCAGTGGGCTAGGGGTGATGGGAGAGTCTCTGACCAGAGGGCTGATCTTACATCATTTAAGCTGCCACCTCTTCTCTGTGAGTTGTCCCTGATTCTCTTGGGCACAGTTAAGGGATTCCTCCTCTGCCCCGGACATGTTGCCTTGCCATGTAACTGCTCTTCTGCACATCTCTCTCCCATGGATGGTGACCTGCGTGAGCACAGGCACTGAGACTTAAATCCCAAGGATCCAGTACTGTGCCTGGCATATAGCAGGTGCTCAATAAATGTTTATTGACTGGATAAACAATGGTTATTATATCTACTATTTATTGACTTCCTGTTATGAGCCAAGCCCTCTGCACAAACAGCACACAAGATCGATTTTCGTATTTTTGCTTTCCAGATTGCAAAACAAGGCTCCGAAAGTTGAAATCACTTGTCCCAGGTCACACCGCCAATATAAGAAGGTTCTGGGGATCAAGGCATCTCTAAGGAGCTTCCAGCTTGGCCTGTCACACGGTGGTTCCAACCTCGGCACTTCACTCTCTTCTTATCTTCTGGACTCAAACAGCCGCAAAGTTCCTGATCCCGTCTCCTCACTGTCTCTCAAGTAAGCCCCTCCTCTCCTCCGTGCTGCCCCTGCTCTTGTCTAAGCCTGCATCATTTTTCACCAGGATTGGCCTCCAAACTGGGCTTCCCATCTCCAGATTTGCCCCACCATCCATCCTCCGCTTGACTGCCAGCGGGATGGTCCTAAATCACACACCTGGTGGTATCTCTTTCCTCCAAAATGCTCCACATTGCCCCGTATTTTCAGGATGGGGTCCTGGCTGGTGAGCCACGGCACATGTGGAAGGGTTTTCAGAACCCGGCAACTGCCTCCCTTTACCACGTCGCCTCCAGCCCCACCGACTCTGAGCTCCGGCCTACAGAATGGGCGGCCATATTCTCTCAACCTTGCACTTTGCACATGATGTTATCCCTTCTGGAAAAACAGAAAAACCCATCCTCCCCGCCCTGTCCTTTCATCCAGATTGCAGAGGCCAGGCCCACTGGCAAGGCGGAGGACACAGACCTCCATCTTTGGGGCCCATCAGATCCAAGGAGCGCCCTCAGGGGGGAGGGCTGGGAGGGGCCCAGGTGTGGCCATGGTGCCCTTCACCCCAACTCAGGTTTCTTTTGATCCCTGAAGTCAGATGGTGTGGGTGAAGTGGCCATTGGCCTGGAGCCTAATTGCAGCTTGCCACTAATTCCTTGTGGGCCTTTGGGTTGGTCCAATGTCCTTTGTGGGCCTCAGTCTCCCCTTCAGTAAAATGAAAGCTGGACTAGCACTAGCTATTCTGAAAGGCTTCTTGGATGATTCTCAGTCGGCCTGAGGGGTTTAACTCCAAAAGGATGAACTGAATTACCCTTCAGGGTAGGGAGTGGGGGTGATAGCCAGTAGTGAGGCTTCATTCAGGCCCTGGAGAGGGGGGGCCAACCAGGTAGGAGCTTTGTCCCTAAAGGTAAGTGACAGGTCCCACTGCACAGGGCAGAAGAAGAGCCCCAGGGCTATGGCTGTCAAGAACTCTAAAGGCGAAAATGACCAAGAGGACCTGTCTGTGCACATTAGCTCCTGGGGTGCCAGGTGCTGGGATCCAGGATCAGACTCAGAAGGTCGGAGGGCTACATTCAGAGAGAGGATCTCTCAACAAAGCACCCGGGGCCCTGGCCCCAGTCCTGGGGGGCCCCAGACCAGAGGATCAACCCCCTTGGTTAAGGCTCTCAGGACCAACCCCAGAGGGCCGGCAGAGGCCAGGCCTAGGAACGAAACCGGAAGAAGCGCTTGGACCCTGGTTCCCAGAGTGGGAGAAAGGGGTGGGCACCGGGCAGAGGGAGCCCTGGGGATTGGCAGCCGCGGTGGGCAGGGCAGGAGGGACGGGGAGGAGTCAATTTGTACACGTGAAAAACTCTGGCGGGGGCCGGGCTCTTCCCTTCCTCCTCCTCCTCCCCCTCTCTCCTCTTCCCCACCTTCCTCCTCCCGGTCCCTTCCCCTCCCCTCCTCCTCCTCCTCCTCCTCCTCCTCCTCCAGCTCAGGTTGCAGCTCCTCTGGGGAGCCGCTCACCTTTCCGGAGCGGGGGAAGCAGCCCCGAGCCGGGCAGGGACCCCAGCAGGGCGCAGGGCGCGCGCCCAGCCCCGCCGCCTCGGCCGTCGCGGTGCCCCCAGGACGCGCGCGGTGAGTCCCGCGGGCGACGCGCCGTGTCCGGCCGGCTGGGGGCCGGCGCGCGGCGGAGGGAGGGGAGGGCAGGGCGGAGGGGGCACCGCGGCGCCGGGAAACGGAGCAAAGGTAGCGGAGCGGCCCTTAAAGGCGCCGTTCTGCTTTTGCCCTGGGGCCAGAGGCTGGGGGGACCTGCCGGAGCGCCGGGGGAGGTCGGCGGTCCCGAGGCGTCCGGGCCTGTGTGTCGGGGCGGGTGACCCCCTGCACGGCCGCTCCCAAGTTCCAGGTGCGCAGGAGGGAGGGCTCTTCTGCATTCCCAGATCCCCCACCCCGCGGGGACTCCCCAGCGGGGCTCGCTTGGCCCCGGGCTCCGCTCTGAACCCTGGGAAGCAAAGTTTTCCACCCCGTCTTGAACTAGACACTCTCTAATCGCCCTTCTTTCTGGGAAGGGCAAGGGTCAGGAGTCTTCGGTGACGAGAGAGCCCGCGAGTGTGGGGCTTCCTGGGCTCTGTGAACTTTCCCGAGCGGCAGGCCGGGGGTGGGAGGCCGGAGCCCTGGGGCGCACAGGGAAGGACACGCGAAGCGCTGCGGGTCCGGCGCTGGGGGGGAGAGGGTGTTGACGGGGGCCTCTGAGGGTCGCTGCTGCTTCTCTCTCTGCCCCCCGGAAGCCCACAGGGGCAGTGGTCCCCACCCCGCGGCAGCAGCATCGGGCAAAGGGTTAATGCGACGGCGGGAAAGGGTGGGTGGCCTGTTGGGCTAAGGGGATGTGGCTTGAGGATTCTGGGGGTTGGGGGGAGATGATCAGGAATCGGGTATGGGCTGCAGCCCCTCTTCGCTCCCCGTGGGGGGCGGGGCTCCCCGGAGCTGTCTGCAGCCTTGTGTTGGGAGTCAGTCCAGAGACAGACGGGTTTTCTGTGCTGTGGGGTCAGCACCCTCCTAGGCACCAGGGCTCTTTCTAATTCTCTCTGAATCCTTTTCTGACAGCAGGGAGAGGACCGTTGGGGCTGTGAGGAGTGGGGTTCAGCTCCGCAAAACCTCATCCCCACCCGTAGCCCAGCCCTCACCAGTTCCCCAGCCGCGGCCTGGGCCCTCTGACTCACTGCCAGTACTGGCTTGCGCCTCCTGTGTCAGCACCCTGAGATTTGGCATGTCCGTGTGGCGTTTTCCACTGGGTATGGGCACACCGCACATTCCTGGACACTGGCCTGAGGGAGCAGAATCCTCGAGGACGCCTGGCATGTCTGGCTGACGGGCACGTCCTCAGAGGTCCCCTGCCTTTCTTCTGGCCTTGGGAGGGGCTGGGACAATGCTGCTTGGTGTTGGGGGAAGACGAGGATGGGCCCAGACAACACTGGCTATGGGTTTGGGGCTGCATCCTGAAAGCGGTCTGGAGAGAGGGTCACCTTGCCACAGCAAAGCTTGTGTCTTGGCTTACCCTGCCCCAGTCCCCCCCCCCCCCCATGCAGCCAGTGAGCCTGGGAGGCTGACCTCCCCCCACCCCTGGAGCCTCACTGCCTGTTAGGTGCCTGGGACTCTTCCCGCTGCCGCCCCTCCAGGAGAATGGAGCCTTCGTTCTTCCCAAACTTAGTGGAGTTTCCAGAGCCAGAGTAGCCTTCAGTAAGTTACATCCAGTTTCTGAATGCCTTAGTGGCTGTCATTTGCTGAAAATCTACCAGGTGCCAAGCAGTGTGTCACACAGCTGTATGAAGTATCATTGTCCCTGTTTCACAGGTGAGGAGACAGACTCAGACCAGCTTTCCCAAAGTCCCACATAGGTGGGATCCAGCCCACTTCCCTCTGAGCCCAGGCCCCGTGCTCTCGGCCGTGCCTGGTTGAGGGAGAGCCCAGGCTGCTCTGGAGTTCTCTGCTGCTAATCAGGCCTCAGGAGAAGGAAGGATGGGGAGGGGGTGCTCCGGAGCGAGGCTCCCGCTGGTCCTGTGCCAGGCAGAGCCAGGCTTCTCCATGGTTGCAGCAGAGAGGGCACTGCATCTGAGGAACAAGTGGGCTCCTGGTCTGAGATCTCAGGGGATCCAGCTGCCTGCCTCAGAAGCCGCCCCTGGGGCCTGGAGAGCGTGGAGCTGCCTTTATGGATGCCTTTTTCTCCACAGACCCAGACTCCGGCCTCTGCAAGCCTCCCTGTGCCCAAGCTGTAGTGCAGAGCCTGCCTTGACTCCTCCTAGCTCCTCCCCCAACCTGGGGTCACCCGTTTTGGATGTTTGTCCAGCATCTCTCCCTCTCCTGCTTCCTTCTTTCCTTCCTTAACTGAGTTTGAGACCTAAGGGGGGCAAACCCAGGGCCTTGCTGGAATCCAGCTCCAGCACGTTGTACTAACTATGTGATCTGCAAACTCCTGGGCTTCTCCCAGCCTTAGTTTCCTCATCTGTGAAATAGGGATCATAATAGGGAAGATTGTTGTATGAATTAAATGAAATAACACATAGTGCCTGGCACGTAGCAGATGCTGAATGGCTGGTGGCTGTGCTGTCGGTGGCTATTTGGAAAGGGAATTCCATAGTTATCACATGGTGCCTGGCTCTGGGGTACAGACCAAGGCAGGCTTAGCTAATCCCATAAGGTCAAGCCCTTGGACAGGGTCTTTCCTCCTCTTCCAGGTTGGGGAGGACGGCTCTGTATAAGAGAATTGGGGGGTGGGGGTGCGGGTTGGATGGAAACCTGCCAGGAGGGGACCAGGAATCTGTGCTATGGGCACTCTACCCTCTGGTTTCCAGGATGAGTGAGGTACGCACTGGGAGCTGGAAAACCAACTGCCTCCCGCTCCAAGGGCCTCTGGCAGGGCTTCCTTTCCCTGGGGTGAGAAGACCGTCCCTGGACTTAATTAATTGCTGTCCCTGTTCTGCTCTGTTGTCCATGAGGGAGTGGCTGGCCTGGATCCAGACTCATCTGATTAGCTTCACCCTTTTGGGGACAAGTCACATTTCTCTTCCCCAGCCCTGTGTCCCGCCATAACCCCTTCTCTCGCCCACCCCGGACCCTTTGCCCTCGCCCTCCTGGCATGAGCTGCTGAGTGAGTGCTTTCCCATCTCCAGTGGGTGGGAGCACACCAAGGTTCGTCCTGGCTTGTCCTGATCCTCACAGCTGCGTACACGCACAGAAGCCAGCTCTGAGGCTGGGCTCCGGGCAGCTCAGGCAGAGGCTCTGGGTCCCAGGATCGCACAGAGCTGGTGGCTGGGCCTGGCAGGAGCAGGCCAGAGGCTCGGCAGCAGATCGGAAGGAGGGAAGGCTGTAGGCACAGCTCAGCCAGACCTCCTTCTGAAGGAGTGCCCATCTGGCCTGAAACCTCCACGGTTCCGCCTGCAGAGGAGGAGGGACAGGGAGGCAAGTGTGAGGTTTGGCTTTGAACCAAAAAGGGTCTTGACGCTCCCTGACAGCAGGAGTGACGCTGGTGAGACAGGCACCCTGTTCTCGGGGACCTTGGCCAGAACTTTTGAAGGGACCGTGGTGAGACCCTGTTTCTTGGAACTCTGGACAATGATCTCACCCTGTGCTCCTACCCGACCCTGCTGACATTAAATGGTCTTCCGTGGAAATGGGGGCGGGGTGGGGAGAGACAAGAAGACTTTATAGTGGCTGGCTGATGCATTCGCTCTCGCTGAGCGAGCGTCTTCATCCCTGGCGGGTGGGGGCAGCTTATGGCCCTGGGCTCGGTTCAGTCCTGCCTCTACCCTTCGGGAGGGAACTTGCTCACCCAAGTTTCAGTTTCCTGAACTAGGAAATGGGGAGAGTCATGGTATTCCTTCCTGTGGATGCCAGGATCCCAATGAGGTAATGTCCTCGATACTCCTGGCTTTTTGCCGTACCTGGTGGCCTTATCGAGGGGTGGTGACAAGCGGAGTTAGGGGCCACATTTGGCAGTTCTCAGTGCCCTGGCCTCTGCTTAGTCCCTGTAGGAACCAGGCTCAGGCCCCAGGCGGGGAAGGGAACTCTGCTCTTCAAACGTTCCTTCCCTCCCTCACCGCAGCACCCTCTGCCTTTTAGTGTGATCGTGGGAAGTTCTGACAAAGCTCCAGATGATTTCTGTCCTCATCTTACTTGCCTAGAGAAGGCATCCCCTTCCTCCCTTTGGGGTCCCCTCAGGAACAGGACCGCTTCTCTCCTCTGGCCCCAGCCATCCAGCAAAGGAGACCCTGACTGGGTGACCAGGCCCAAGAGGGGACATGGCTGTCCTTCCCCACCTCCTGGCAGGACCCAGTGCCTGGAAGCAGGGAGGCGGTAGGCCCTGTGCTGGAGGGCGTCACTCATGACATTAGCAGTGCGGAGTCTCCAGACCACCTCTGCCAGCAGGGCATGGGATGAGGCCAGGAAAGGGGTCCCAGAGCCCTCCCTGTTCCTGGCATGGTGCCCAGCTGGCAGCACCCCCTGCTGTGGCTGGGCTGGGTGCCACTTTCTGGGCTGATGCCAGATCTGACGTGGCTCCTTCCCTGTGCAAGGCAGCCCTTGAGTGGGCTCTGATCGCCCTGGAGACGTTGCCCTGGAGGGAATGCCGTCTCTGGGCAGGTCCTTGCAGTCCCCTCCAACTCTGGCGGAGCAGCAAGGGCACTGAACTCAAGCTCACCAGGCCTCTGTTCTAGTCTCAGCTCTGGCCCATCAAATGACTGGCCTTGGGCAGGTCACTCCCCTTTCTGAGTCTTGCCTTCTTCACCTGAAAAATGAGGGCACAGATCAGGGGGTTTCTGAAGCCCCATCCAAGAATGATTGATGGTTTGTGGTTCCAGCTTTGGCCAATCCTGCTGACAAGGTGAGCTGTGCTCTCAGACCCCAGGTGGTACTCCACCTTCTGTTCCTTCAAACTCTGGAGCACAGGGCTTCGCCCAGCTGAGGCCCGGGTAGCCGGTCCCTGCCTCGGCTCCGATGGACAAGGAAGCCCTGGAAGGCTCCCTGCTGTCAGAGGGGAGGACAAAAAGGAGGAGTGGACTCTGGATTCACACGCCACACGGGCACTGGATGCTCAAGAGTCAGGTTGACGAACCACGTGTGCGAAGAACGGTCTTTCCAGTTTT